GGGACATCCTGGAGGAAGGCCATTGGACTGATGCAGAGTTCACTGGAGACAGGGAGGTCAGGTGTGCCAGGTATGGGGCACAGCCAGGGCAAAGGCCTGGTGTTCAGAAGTGGTGGGAGCAGGACAGTTGGGCTGCAGGAAAGATAGCCTTCCTCTCCACTACCTAGAGCCAGCCAACTTGGGGGAGCTTGGGGTGTTCCAGGTGATCTGCGCCAGCCTCTGTCCTCTTGAATAATCACAGGCAACCAGAGCTCAGTGTCCAAGCCTCCACCCAGGCAGAGGATAGGGGCAAGGACGTTGTGCCCAGCATCCACAGGGCAGCCCCCAGGGGAGGAGTGTCGTGGGCCATGGTGTAGGTCACAGATAGGGTGGGCTCCCTACTGCAGGAGCCTGGTAATGCTCTGTGGAGAGCCTACAGGGCCATTGTCTGGTTGCCATGGCTTCCAGCTGCTGCTAATCCTCACCTGGACAGGCTGGACCTCCACTGTGTCCCAGCCAGGTTTCACCTTGAGTGACCTTCTGGCCAGCATGGGGCTGAGGCCAGTCTGGAGGGAGGGATGCACCAAAGCCACCTTTCTGGCCAGTAAAGTCTCCAGGAGAGCCAAGGTGACCCAAGCATCTTGCCTGATTTGGACACTGGGCCCTAAGAAGTGTATAGATGAGCCTTACCTGGGACCCAGGGTACCAGTGATCCCAGGAGAGTGAGACCTGAAACTGGATGGGCTCTGAGTGAACAGGGTGTGAAGCAGAATGGAAGAATAAGCAGAGGGGCCCCAGGCCTGGGCAGGTAGGGAAGTTATCAGATGGAGACAGGTGTGGGGGGGGCAGGCAGGGTTTTGGGGACCTGCCCCGAGGGTAGTGTCCTCCATCAAGCTGTTTTGTCCCTGCAGCCTGAGATCCTGGAACCAGGCTAGCCTAGAAAGGCCTCAGTGGACCCCTGTGCTGCCCAGTGATCAAGCACCTTAGAACAGGGCTAGTACTAGGCGACTGTCCCAAAGTGCCATGGCTGAAAGAAGAGGACACGGCTCCTGATAACTTAGCCAGCCTGGGCCCCTACCTTGGCCTTCAGTTTTCCCACCTGTGTGTCTTGCGGGCAGAGGTGTCTTGGGCCTCTGTGCTGGGCAAAGCCCACTACTAATGCAGATCAGGGTCCCTAGTTCCTGTGATGGGAAACAGGTTCGGGGCTGGAGCCAGCCGACAGTGTGGCCAGGTGGGGCCACAAGTGTGTGCAGCTGAACCGGTCCTGGTTCAGCTTGTGAAAAGCTTCACTCACCCAAAGGGTGGTGAACGGGGACACATCTCCTTCTTGATGCTGAAGTTTGAGTATGGCTAGGTGGAGGAGAGGCCAGCCTGGAAGAGAGACCTGAGCTTGATTCTGTTGGGAGAGCCCTGAGCAGTCTAAAGCAGAGGGGATCCTGCTCTTGGTGTGGACAGCATAGGCTCTGGAGCCAAGGACACTGCCCGCCCCTGCTGTTCCAGTTTCCACAGTGGGTATGCCATTGAAATCAAGATGCAGCCAGACTGCCAGGTGTGGTGGTTGTTGTAGTTGGGGGTTTTGCAAGGGAAAACAATATAATATGGGACACTTAATTATAAGATTATTTTATAATAGTCACGCAAAGAGTCATATACGAAAAGAGTGCAGGAAATCTGTCCACACACTATAGACCAAAGAATCCAGCTGAGGGCCTGGATCCTGCAGTAATGTCCTGCATGAGTCCAGCTGAAGACCTAGAGCCTGTAACAATGCCTCCCATGAGTCCAGCTGGGGGCCAAGAGCCCATGACAATGCCTCATGCAGGCCTGTTTCATGGATCTGTGCTGGGAAGGCCCAAAGGTCAGTGGTGGAAGCTAGAAAAGTCTATGCCAGCAGGACAAAGGATCTGTGCTGGCAGGCTGAGCCATCTGCACTGGAGCCAGGAAGCAATGCTCAAAAAAAATAACCAGAACTCCCCTGAAAGGTTCCACAGCCATCCTCAGTGACAGTGAGGTCCTGAGCTCCTCCAGTGAAGCAGCCAGGCTCCTAACAGGAAAGCCAGAATGACAAGCTTCTCCAGGAGACAGAGCAGTGCACCATCTTTCTCTCTGGAGCCAGGAAACAATGCTTAAAGTGAGGACCAGAGCTCCCGCAAAGTGAACCGGAACCGTTCTCAGTGACAACCAGGTCCCGAGCTCCTTTGACAAGAAGAGCTGAGTTCATCAGGAAAGCCAGCATGACAAGCTCCTCCAAGAGAACCAACAGCTCCCTACAGCTTCTCTACTGCTTCCTCTCCAGTTCTGCTTCTTATGCTGTCAGCAACAATCCTCAGGTGGGCCTTCCACACCCAGCACCGCATTGGTTCAGTTCAGCTGGGCGTTACAAGTTGACCACCAGTTGTCAATACACCACAGTGGTGCACACCTGTAATCCCAGTACTCAGGAGACCGATGTAGGAGGATTATTGCAAGTTCAAAGCCAGGATGTGCTACATAGTGAATTCAAGACCAGCTTGAACTATATAGAAAGAACCTATCTCCAACAAAAAAATAAAACAAACAAAACAAAACAAAACAAAACAAAAAAACAAACAGCTAGGCTGGATATATAGGGACATCCTCCTGAGGCTCCTGAATCAGGCTCTGCTGGTGGCACTGCCTGTCCCCCACCTCTGAGCATGGTCACACCAGACAGCTGGGGTGGAGCTTCTCCCCTCTGGTTGAGGGTCTCAGGAGAAACTAGCTGGTGGGAGGAGGACTGCACTGGTTCCAGTCCCATACTATAGTGAGGAGAACCTCCTGGGGGCCTGACCAGGGCCATCACATATTCTATGGTTTGCCTGCCTAGGCACATGGCTTCTCTCTGCCCCAGGACCTTTGTACCTGTGGCTTTCTCCCTGCCTCTTCTTTATCCTCACTAAGCTGAAATGCCCTCCTTAGAAAGGTAGACCCCAGGCCCTCATATGTTTTGTTACTCTTGTTACTTTGCTTCTCTACATTAATCATAATCTAATATTTCCCACTTTTAATAATATTTCTTTTCCCCCAAAATCTAGGAAGCTGAGATAGGACCACAAGTTTGAGCCCAGGTGGAATAACTTAGCAAGACCCTGTCTCAAAAAATTTTTTTAATTAAATAAAATTTAATTTTAAAAGGGCTGGGGATATAGCTCAGTAAGAAGGCCCTGAGTTAATTTTTTAAAGGGCTTTTTTGTTTGTTTGTTTGGGGAGGTTGTTTTGTTTTGTTTTGTCTGCTTACCACCTCTTTTGGCTACACTCTGAGCTATGGAACAGGTGTTCTTCTGTCCATAGATATGTTTGCCCCATTGAGTGCAGGCTGGGCACCCACGTGCTCAGAAGTGGTGTCTCCCACCTAAATACATAGAGGCTTTCAACCAAATCTTCTGGGGATGCAGCTGTTACACTCATGTGGTTGGGCAGGCCCCCTTCCTAACCAGCAGACCCAGTGACACAGCAAGACCTAGTCAGCCTGCTCACCCCATACAGCTACCCATGGGGTCCAAGCAGCCTCCTGTACCACCTCAAGAGAACATCTGGACCTCAGCAAGGGATGTGGTGCTTGGCAGAGGTCCTGGAGGCTGGGACACAGCCTGCCTGCCCCACTCTTCCCTGCTGGGCATCAGGGAGGGAGCATATCTACCTCGGGGAGTGGCTGTGCCTCAGTCAGAGCTGTGGGCCCAGGAGGTTCCTCAGCCTACAGGGAGGTGGGCAGTGCAGCCCACAGGCCAGTTTTCTGCTTTCCAACTCCATTTTCTTCAGGCTGGGCAGGACAGGGAAGGTGTCCCTGAGATGGGCTCTGTGCAGCTCCCTCCCCCTGGGGAATTGGCAGTCACCAGGAGATGGCTTGAGTGGGGATGGGAGGTTAGGGATGGGTCCTGTGAGCACCAGGGACAGTCTGTGCCTCCCTGGCTCTGAGGTTAGGCCTCTTGTTTCTCTAAGCACATGTTTTCCATTACAAATACAGTTCATGTTCCTTGTAGAAAGTATAGACTCTCAGAAAAGCATAAAGGAGAGAAAACAATCCAGGTACCCCAGCTCCCTGCAGAGCCTGTGTCCTCTATGCCCCTTGAACTGATGACCAGCAGCTCCTCCAAACCCGCTTCAGCAAGGTCCTTGGGTTTCAAGGGTCTCACCATCAACTGGGAGCCCTCATCTTCAGCCACTGGCTGGGCTACAGGAGTTAAGGCAGGGTGAGGGCCTACGGCTACATCCTGGCTGGGGAGATGCCTGACACTCTCCCACCGGTCTGTGCCTAGGTGATGAGGCCCTTGATTCTTCCTTGTTAACATCTGTGGCTCAGCGGGGCTCCTATGCAAAGCACAGGTTCTCAGGCAGCCCCACCTGCTGCTAAGGCATAGGGAACCTGCCTTAGACTGGGGCTCAGCCAGTGCCTAAGTCCTGGACTCCTAAGACCACCAAAGCAGGTGGGGCCACTGCTGACATTTCACTATTGTCCTCAATTCTCTGGCAGCTCCCCACCCACTCTCAGCCTCTGCAGGACTCAGGGCTTTCCCCTGATTGAGGACCTCTCAGCCTCTTGGGAGGGCCCAGAGAAGCCCCACTGGCCTTCTGCTAGGGTCTGCAACCCAGAATGGATGGTAAGAAAAAGGGGTGAAAGCGCCGACCATCACTGGCGTCATTGCCAGTGGCTGAGGGCTGGTGGGCTGGTACGCAAAGGTTTGGGGAAGGATCAACCGACTAGGCTTGGGCACTTGAGTAGCAGGGCTGGTGCAGTGGTTCCCGCCGCCTCAACCCACCCGCTCCAGCTTGCGACCCGCCCTCAGCACGTGACCTGCCCAGACTCCCCGCTCCAGCACTTGCCTCTCTGGCCCTGCCCCCAGACACACGCCTGGCCCTGACCCCGAGTGCCGACTCCTCATTCCCCGACCCCAAAGACTCCCCTATGCGGAGTCTGCTCCTCCAACCCGACCCAGCCTACCCCTACCCGACCCCTGCCCCACCCCCAGGCCTTCGCCCCGCCCCAGGTGATGGTCAGGCCCCGCCCCAGGGCCCAGCGCCCAGCTCCAGGGAGCACAGCGCCGGCTCAGGGCTCCAAGCAGGGGGCGCCGCCGACCAGGTGAGTGCCACCCTTTCCCTGGCGCCTGTCGCGCGGCGCCCCTACCCTGCCCCTGGTTGGGGCCCTGCGCATCCTCTGACACCCCTCCCGGGGCTCGGCGCTCTGCTCGCAGCCCCGCAAAGCCGGGCTGGTTGTTCCACCGTGCACCTCCTGCTTTTGCGCGCCCAGTCCCCCAAGCGCCTTTGGTTCCCCGCGGGGGCTCACTTGCCGCTGTCCAGTGCCCCCTCGCGTCCGCTCCCAGTCTCAGCAGCCGCACTCCTCCTCGACCCTCAACTCCTAGTTCGCAGATCTCTGGGACCCGGAGGCCGCCCGGTGTGCCTGGGTCGGCCAGCTGCCGCCGGGAATTTGGACGGCCTTCTCTGCCCACCGTCCTCGGGTCCTATCTCCCCAGGGCGGGCAGGCTCTGGGGATCCTGGAACGGGTTCCGGGGATGAGCGTGTAGGAAATGAGCATGGAGTTGTAAGACCACTAGGACCAAAGGAGGGAGGGGTCTGCGAGTTGCATGCAGAGCACCTCTGCTCTCTGGGCATAGGCCCCTCACAGCTCAGCATTTGTGTCTTGGATCCCGCCTGACCCTCAGGGTACCCGCCTCTCCGCAGGACCCCACCCACGAGGGACCTGCCGGGCGCCAGGTGCCCCCCGGGACAGGGAGGGTACAGGAACCCGAGGTGGGACCTTTGAAGCTGTTCCAGAGAAAGAGCTGGAGCGGGATGGGGAGATCCAGAGCTCCCAGCACCGGCGGTGAGGACAGCTGTGACCGTGCACCTGCAGGTGGTTCCCAGTAAAGCTGACATTTCCATAGAACTGTGCTGGGGTAGAAGGTGGTATTGCAGACCTGCTGAGCCCCAAGGGGTGCTAGTCAGGACCAGAGCTCTGGCCTCCCTGCTTGTGCTAGTCAGGACCAGAGCTCTGGCCTCCCTGCTGTGTCCCAGCCCAGCCCAGACCCACCTCAGTTTACCCATCATGGGAAGAATCTGGGCCCACCTGGGCTGCCTTAAGGAGAGTGGAGTGGGGGAGTAGGAGTGGGGCTGTCTCTAGCCCACTCTCAACAAATGCAGAAGCAGAGCTTGGAAAGCTCATTCTGGGTGACTGAGCACCATGTTTGCTCCCCCTAGCATAGGAAGAGCACTGGGTGTCCGCAGCCTCCAGGTGAGATGGGCCAGGAGTGTCCTCAGCACCTCTCCCAGCTGCAGCTGACCTTACGTGGAACTGGCTTGGCCTGGGAGGAGTCTCAAGATGCAGGCCTGACCTCTGGCCACCAGGCATGGGAGACTCTGGTACTGAGGCTCACTTCTGTCCCCAGGCCCCTGGGAAACCCCCACCCACCCACTCACACACACAGCTTCTCCCCAGGTGCCCAAGTAGATCCTTTCTTGATGCTGGGGAGGAGATGTGGGCTGTTTGGGACAGTTTGTGAGGGCCATTACTGAGCTCCAGGCATTCCGCACAGCGTCTTGCATGCTTCAGCACCTTTCGTCTCTTCAGCAACTTCACAGCTTGTGGACTTTCTGACACCTGAATCCAGGCCTCAGGAAGCTTGGTGCCTCCCCCAAGATCACAGGCTGCTGTGGGCAGGAAGCCTGAGTGGGAGTGGGCTTGCCTCTGTGCCCTGATAGGGGACCAGCAAGCAGGTCCTTTCCTGGGACATTTGGGGTGGAAGACCCCTCTTCAGATCCTTTCTCACTGAATCCTCCCCTACAATTGAAAGGTCCCCAGGGCAATTTTCCCATGAGTGTGTAATTTTTGAAACTGAAAGATTGCTGCTTCCCAATAATGGCTCTTGCAGAATTATAAGAGGCAGGCAGAACACTGGGTCTGTTTTGTTCTTTCCTGCTCTGAAGTGGACCTGGGGAGTTGGAGTGTTTATCGGGATAGTAGGAGCAGCAGCAGGCAGTCTGCTGAGCCCCTGCCCAGGTCTGAGTGGCCTCAGAGGAGTCCTGAGCAGCTGAGAGCTCCCATAAAAGATGAGGAGCTTGTTTGATTTAAGATCAAACATGCATTCAGGAGCTGCTGCCCGGAAAGCTGAGGGCTTGTGCTAGTCAGGACCAGAGCTCCACTGGCCCTCTGCCCTCCTGGGGATAGACAACCCACCTATAGGAGCTGCTTCATTGTCTCTACTCAGTCCCCATTGGGTCCCACAGGGCTTGGGCTGAGGTCCTTCCTTGGTATTTTGGGAAGGGGTGACCCACCATCCTCTGCAACTGGCTTGTGCATCCTGGTCTCCTAGATTCTTACATGCCCTCCACACCCCCAGACCACAGCTCTGCTTGAATCCATGCTACAGAAGTTTCCTACAGAAGCAGGCTTCCCCTGCTTCCCTCTGGGGCCAGCTTCTAGTGCCAAGGCTCCTGGGAAAGACCCTCTCCTGGCCAGGCACAGACACAGGCTGAAACCATGGTGATCACTGGCCCTGGCTGACCTGCCCGCTTCCTCAACTCAGAAATACTCTTTAGACCAGAGGTCAGCCAGAAAGACTCCTGGGTAGGGTCGCAAAATGCAGTCACCCCAACCTGGTACTTTACCTTTTTATTAGATAGGATCTTGTCACACACTTTACAAAAGATCATAGCACATCAGCCAGCGCACTCAGTACCCAGGGGAGGGCACAAATCTAGCAAAGCAGAAAGCGTGTTTCCCTTCCCTCAGAATAGGACTTCAGGGCGACATTTGTCTCTTGGGCTGGTACCAGCGCTTCACCTCCTCCTGCTATTCCTCTGTCATTCCTGGTCAGGCTTCCATCTTGTCCTTGGCTGGTATTCATCAGGATTTCCCCTTTTCCTGGGGCCTGGCAGCTCACGGATAGTGCTACTTTGCCATGACTATTCTGCTCAGGATTGGACTCAGTCATACTTGCTATATGAGCCCATCTCCTCTCTGAGGGGTGTCTTGTCCTGAAACCTTTGGCCCTGCTTCTGCTCTTTGTCCATGTGCTGTGTTCTTCTCTTCTAGTTCTCTTCAGAACTCTCCAGGCTGGAGTCAGTCTTGACTTCTGTGGGCTTAGGTTTTGTTTTGTGTTGTTGTTAGTTTGTCTAAGCATTTCAGTGGAGTTATGGTATCTCTTCTGGGCTCTCCCAGCCCATTTCCCGCCCCCCCCCCCGGTCTTCCAGATCTTAGTTGCCTCTGCTCAGCCCCCTGGTATCTCAAGGATGAAGTCCTGTCCTGGAATCCATGGAAGTCCCCTGTCTGTGTTGGTCACCATGGGTCAGTGAACAGGTCCAGGACTCAGGGGTAAGCACAGTGTAGTGGCCTTGGCTCAGACCAGGAGATTCCTGTCCCTGCATGGCTGGTCCCTTGGTGTGCTTGGATTCTTTCCTGGCTGCTGCAGCACCACTCAGCAAGGTACCAGCCCTACCCAGTGCTCTCTTTCTCATCAAGGGAGGAATTATTTTCTTTTTTATTGTTTTTAATGAAAGATTTCAAACACAGAGGAAAATACATACTGTAACAAGAGTGTGTACCTGTCACCTGATCCAACAGATACAGCATCCTTTATTCCTGCCTCAGTGCCTATCCACAAAATCCCCTATGCCAGCCCACTGCCTTTGTGTTAGGTTGCTGAGTGTGATGCCCCTAAGGGGTGCCTCTGCCCTGGTTTCCTTGGTTGTCACTGTTCTGTGCATCTGTGTTTATTTGTTCATGGCACTGTGCTGTATCCACTTTGCTCCTTGCTATGTCACTACCTGGGGCTAAAGAAATCTATCATTGCTGGGGAGGAGATGCACCTCACCCTACCCTGCCAACATCCAAGTAGCTGCTGTCCCTTAAGGCTGTAATAGCAACACCCATCCGGTCACTTCACAAGTCATTACAGCACTGTCTGATAGGACCTCTGGGTTCACTGTTGGCTGAATTTCTGGGGTGATCACTGCTGCATGGATTCTCAGAATGGCTCTGCTTGGGAGTGGACATGCAGGGGATGGCGTTCCCTGGGTTCTAGTGGTGTTGGCAGAGCCTCCTGCAGAAGGAAGGTCAATGCCCCAGTGGAGTCCAGCGTGGCTCCCCAGGAGAGCAGGCTGGAGGTTGGTGCCTGTCCTGCTGGGATCCAGTGGTGGTGAGAGCTCTCTGCATCACTGTCTCTCCACAGGCCATAGACATGCGTTCTGGAGCACTGGGAACTAGAACCTGCTAGGCAGAGGTTACCCTCCTGCAATGCTTTCTTGGGGAAGCCATGGGGTGCAGGGCACAGGAAGCCACAGAGGTATCATCAGCAGATGCTGGTCTCAGTTCACCAGCCGGCTGCCCTCCTGTCCCCACGGTGGCTGCTCCTTCCTCTCTGGGCTTGTTTTCCAAACAATTTGCTTAATGTGATTCCCGGCTGAGTTGAACATGACTAATCGTGTTTACCTACCGCCGTCGGGCAGGCGGGGCTGGGGATGGGCCAGGAGGAAGGAATGCTGGATGTGCCCAACTCACTGGTTCTTCCTTCTCTTGTAGAGACGCACACATGCAGGCGGCCTCCATGGAGCCTTTGTACCCGGCCTTCACACCTAGCTGGAACACCTCAGCTGCCAGCCCTGGAGACAACCACAATGGGACACTGGTAGGGGCAGCACCGTCAGCAGGGGCCCGGGCAGTATTGGTACCCTTGCTGTACCTGCTAGTGTGCACTGTGGGGCTGGGTGGCAACGGGCTGGTCATCTACGTGGTGCTGCGACACGCTAAGATGAAGACGGTCACTAATGTGTATATCCTCAACCTGGCCGTGGCCGATGTGCTGCTTATGCTGGGCCTGCCCTTCCTAGCCACACAGAACGCTGTGTCCTACTGGCCCTTTGGCCCCTTCCTGTGCCGTCTGGTCATGACGCTGGATGGCATCAACCAGTTCACGAGCATCTTCTGCCTGACCGTCATGAGCATTGACCGCTACCTGGCTGTGGTCCACCCACTCCGCTCTGCCCGCTGGCGCCGCCCACGAGTGGCCAAGCTGACCAGTGCTGCTGTCTGGGCCTTCTCGTTGCTCATGTCCCTGCCACTGCTGGTCTTCTCAGATGTGCAGGAGGGCTGGGGAACCTGCAACCTCAGCTGGCCAGAGCCTGCAGGACTGTGGAGTGCTGCCTTCATCACCTACACATCTGTGTTGGGTTTCTTCGGGCCACTGCTGGTCATCTGCCTCTGTTACCTGCTCATTGTGGTGAAGGTGAAGGCTGTAGGCGTGCGTGCCGGGTCCTCAAGAGGCCGGCGATCCGAGCGCAGGGTGACCCGCATGGTGGTAGTTGTGGTGCTAGTCTTTGTGGGCTGCTGGCTGCCCTTCTTCATTGTCAACATTGTCAACCTGGCCTTTACACTGCCTGAGGAGCCTGCCTCCGCCAGCCTCTACTTCTTCGTAGTGGTCCTGTCCTATGCCAACAGCTGTGCCAACCCACTGCTCTATGGCTTCCTCTCTGACAACTTCCGCCAGAGCTTCCGGAAGGTTCTGTGTGTCCGTGGGAGCTATGGCATGGAGGATGCCGATGCTGTGGAGCTACGGCCAGACAAGAGTGGGCGGCTACAGGAGGTCACGCTGCCTCCCACACGCAGCTGCCAGACAAATGGGCACATGCAGACCAGCCGGCTATGAGAGCCACCTGGGTCTTTCAGGGACCACCCAATGTCATCTTCCTGGTGTGGGACCGTGCTGAGGCACCCATCCTCAGATACTCTGGGCTGCAATTCAGATACTCCTTGGCAGCGGCATAAAGAAAGGAGCTACCTAGGGCAGAGCCATAGGTGGACACCGTGCAACCAGCATCCTGCAGTGACTATGTCACTTCACCAGCCCCTTTCCCTATGTGGGCCAGTTCTGGAACCTTGGGGACTCAGCTTTGTCCCCAGAAATGTCTGGCATCTCCAGCCCTGCCCTAGCCTATCTTGTCTCAGTATCCAGGCCATGGGAGCTGGCAGGGGCACTCTTCCTGACCACTGGTATGAGGTGGTAACCACCCACCCTGAGGCCTTACTGCACGTACCCCTCATCATGGAAGCTCCGTGTCACCATGTCAGCATCTGAGTGCTACTCAGTGAATTAAAGACACCTGAATGCACTCAGTGCTGGCCTCCATTCCCTGGAGCTCCCAGGGTCCGGGCAACAGCCCCAGCCCCTCACTGACCCTGAGACTGTGTGGACACTGGGGGAGCAGGACACTGGGGGAGCAGGCTGGCTCTGGACAGCTAGGGTCCCCTGAGGTCCCAGAGAGGACATTGTCCTTAGGGCCCTACTTTCCTATATACTTGGCTTGGTGGTGGGAACCATGGGCAGGGCAAACACAGGGATGGCCACCCTGGGATGAGCTCTGTCCACGTGCCAAGAAGGCAGGCTAGGGTAAGGGTTCCTGCTGGAAGTTTTTGAGGTTTAGAGGCTGTGAGGTTTAGAGGCTGTGAGGACCCTACAGGTCCCCCTTCTGGGTCAATCAGGGGCTCTGGCCAGGAGAAGGAACAGGACAAGCAGGTGGGAGGGGGTTGGGAGAGACCTGCTTCCTAGTGTAAATAGCATAGCCTGGGAGGATGGTGCTGGGTGGATAGAGGCAAATGCCAGCAAGCACCAGCCCCTGAGAATCCACCCTCAGGATTGTGCTTATTCCCTAGCCCAGGACAGCCTCTCTGCTACCAAGGCCGGGAGTAGAGCCCTGAGAACCCCTGTGCGGCCTCCTTGCTGGGGCCCCCAGGATGCCTTGCCTTTTCTCTGAGGCTGGAAGGAGAGGTCAGCTGCACAATCATGTGCTCTGGGACAGCCCTGCCTGATGCTGCCTAGGCCTCCCAGGAAGATGCAGGGGCCAAGTGAAGCAGGACGGGAAAGGTAAAGCCGGGCCAGCACTGCTGGGTCTCCTGCGTGCCACCCAGACAGCTGATCCTGGAATACATTCCGTATACCAAAGGCACTTGTGTTTGACAACCTGCTCCCTGAATAAATTAGAGAATAAATGTTTGATTCTTTCCCAAAGCAAATATTGTCCCTGTAACTGAGCAAAGTCGGCACAAACCAGAATGTTTTATAGGTGTAAGGCTTCCCTGGCCCCAGCAAGCCAAACCCCTGACAAAGTAGGGTAGGGGTAGCCAGACACGGCTACAAATAAGGAGCAGGGTGGCTAGACAGGGAGGCAGGTGGTTAAACAGAGTTCACTGAAAGGTGGGTGCTGTCAGGGTTCTGGTTGGGGCTGACCCTGCTTGGTTTCCTGGGCTCAGCAACAGCTCTAGGAAGGGAATGGGGGTCTTCATGTGGGTCACCAGTAGCTGGTGACAAAACCCACCCCTGTACACTGGGGCTGGTGTCCCAAGGAGTGGTGTTCCCAGGGAAAAACCAAGGCTTATCATCCTGCTACCCATTCTCAAGCCCTCCAGGGTTTGAATGCAAAGTGCATCTGCTCTGAATACTTTAGGAGGGCAAGCAGAGGCTTGTGTCAGATCACCTTCTCCAGGGTGATTTGACAGTGGGCCCTCCTTCCTCATGGTGTATGCCTGTCTGTATGTGTCATCTGTGGAGGGCATGGAATGGAGACTCAGGCTGCCCTCACAGTGACCTGGCAGCAGCTGGAATATGCTTCTCAGTGGACCTTGGTCCTTCTGGGAGCTCCCTGCACCCTAGGCACCCTGCCCCCTACTGTGACCAACCAGAAGCCCTGTGGGCCCTGCAGTATCAGCCAGACCCAAGGACTTGTTTCCTTTTGTCCCATAAACTAGCCTTGAACCCCACAGGGCCAATCTGGTCCCCCGGCTGCACGCAATTCATCTGCTGGCCTCCGCTCCTGGCCTTATCCTGCTCAGGTGCAGCCTATTCCCCTCTTGTCCTCCTTTGCAGTTCCTGCTATACTGGGCCACAGGGGTCAATAAGTTCCCATTGGTATCCCCAAGAATAGAGCCTAGATCACCTCTTACTACCCGCAGCCTCTGAGCCTGGTAAACCCCTGGGATGCGTGTCTTCCTGGAGCAGCAACAGTGTACACCTACTGCACCCACACAGGGTTGGTTGTGGATATCTAAAGCTGAGCTGGGAGCACATTCCAGACAGAGAAAACAGTGTGTGAAAGCTCAGACCGAGGAGCGCAGTGTGTGAGCTCTCCACTGCTGTGTAGTGGGGGACAGGGCTGGGAGCAGAGAGGCATAGGTACAGTCCCCAGGCCTGTCCCAGGGTCTGTGTTGTAGGTTGGGGGAAGAGAGGAGAGACTGGAGGAGAGAGAGGCTGGATGCAGGGAGTTTTGTCCAGGACAGGCAGGCAGCCTGGCCCTGGGTGGGGTGTGGAAGACCAGAGGTGCTCAAGAGACAGGATCATTGTCCCTGGTGTGATGGGGGAAAGCAGCCTAGGCTGGCTTCTGGCTGGAGCGTATGGGAGGGCAAGGAGCCTGTGGAATATTCTGGGAGGTTCTATATACCCTGTGGATCCTGAGACTGGGCGTGGCCAGTGTGTGTATCTAGGGGACACATGGTAGGGGACAAGGACCTGGACACATCATGGGTACCTATATTAAAGGCTAACAGGCGTGTCCAGGAGGAACATGGACTCTGGAAAGCCATGGGGGTCCTAGGGTGATCCTGCACTTGTCACAGGCCTCAGGGTCCCCACAGCCATCACCACTGGGGCTGAGGGGCTATAGGGGATGAGAGCATGAGGATACTTACAGGGACCACGGGGCAGCCACTGTGTACAGGCGTGGGTGATGGGGGGGACAGAGCAAACACCTAGGGCCCGAGCAGTGACCCGCTTTATGGGCTGTCTTTCTGCATCGATGGGTTTTATTGGCCTCTGGGCTCCAGCGACTCCCAGGGTGACCTTGCTCAGGAAATCCGGCCTATAGGGAGAGGGATGGGAGACAGGAGGTATCTGTTTGCCTGGCAGGGTGGGGTGCAGGCCGGGAAGGGAGGGTGCTGGCAAAGCAGCCCCTACAGGGTTGTATGCATGGAGGGTGTTCTCCCCACAATGATGTAAACTGAGGGTCATTGGGGGCCAAACAAGGCTGAGCTGAGGGCCGCAGTGGCAGTGGCTTCTCCCAGTAGCAATACGGATGTCCTTGGCAGGTTCCTGAGGAAGGGCTTCCCTCCTTCAGGTGTCCTGGGGAGCAAGGAGGGTGGGTGGGGTGCTAGTGGGCATCAGGCAACGATGATGGAAGGCTGATGGACACACCATTCCTCCCACCAGATGGGCCCCATCTGGCAGAGGCCATGTGAGGTAACACAGACCTCTAGGCAAGGATGGCCGATACCCTCACTCCCTCCCATGGCCTGCTGGGTTCCTCTTTCCTAGACACAGCTGGAAGTTGTCACTGGGGTCCATCAAGATAAGCTGTCAGCACAGGGCAGAGGGAAGGCAGAGATAAGGGTACAAGTCAGACATTCTGGCCCCTCCAAGTCCCTATTCTGATGGTCATCTAGCCTGACTGGGTAGATACGAAGAGAGTGACCAGGAGCAGCCGTTGTACCAGTCAAGAATCTGCCACTTACACCCTTCATCCCTCCTGACTGGTTGATCTGGTTGCTGCCTGCTTCCATGGGGCTTTGAGCTTTAGGAAGGAGCCCCAGCCATGTCTACACCCTCAGAAGTTCACACACTCCTAACTCAGTCCTGAGGGACATGATAGAGGTGCCTGAGTGATGTAGGTCCCCCCATTTGAGAGAGTTCTCACCGGCTCCCCTGTGCATCTGGCTGTGACTTCCTTTCCCCCAGCCCAGCAACTACTATTTCACTTTCTGACTATGGTTTTGACTTCTCAACAAGGGATTTTTTTGTTTGTTTGAGACAGGGTCTCGCTGTGCAGTTCAGACTGGCTTTGAACTCACTATATAACTCACAGCGATCCTCCTGCCTCAGCCTCCCAAGTGCTGGGATTATAGGCATATGCCAAGACACCCAGATCTATAAGAGATTTTGTATGAGTGGAACCACAGTATTTGTCCTTTTGTGACTGTTTTATTTCACTTATCATAAATGTCCTCAAGATTCATCCATGTTGTAGCAGGTGTCAGAATTTCCTGAATAATACTTCATTGTAGCCAGGCATAGTGGTGCATGCCTGTAATCCCATTTACTCAGGAGGCTGAAGCAGGAAGACCACAAGTTTGAGCCTTATCTGGGCAACATAACAAGATCCTGTTTCAAAATGAAAAATTTTTTAAATGACTAAGGATGTAGCTTAGTGATTGAGCCTCTACCTGGCATGCTGGAAGTCCTAGGTTCTATCCCCATACCACACATAAGGAAATTCCTTTGTCTGGGTACCATAGTCATCATCAGTGGACACTGGGTTGTGTCTACTGTCTCAGCCCATTTGTGCATTATAACAATTTATAAAGAATGAAAATTTATTGCTGTAGAATCCTCTTGCCTATTCATTTTTCCAGGCTCTTTAACTTTTTACAAAGTTAAAAAAATGGACCTTTCTTGCACAAATGTTCAAATAGCATTGTTCATAATAGCCAGATCTTTATCAACAGATGAGGAATAAAGTGTGCTCTGCTCATGCAATAGAATACTACTCAGCTATAAAAGGAAGGAAGCTCCAACAATGTGGAGCTCTGCACAATGTGGATGACCTTCAAAAAACGTGTTCAGAGAGAAGCCAGATACGAAGGACAGGCTCCATGTGACCCCCGCTGACATGAGCTGGTCCAGGGTACGCAGAGCAGCAGGGACAGGAGGCCAAACAGTCACTGAGTGGGTAGTGGGGAGGCTGCCAGATGGGCACGGACTCCTCTGTGGCTGAAAACATTCTAGCAAGACAGAGGTGGTGGCTTTAGGTTGTGAATGTACTAAAGGCTGTTCAGCTGTTCATCCTGAAAAAGTAAACGTTATGTTGTTTGAATTTCACCTAATTTTATTTTATTTTCGGTACTGGGAATTGAACTCAGAGCCTTGCGCCTGCCAGGGAAGTGCTGTGCTGCTGAGCTATATCCCTGGCCCTCACCTAATTTTAAAAAATGGAGTTTTCATTGAAATTCCAGTGGACCAGAAAGCCAGTGTGGATGAAGCACTTCCCAGCAGGCTCACCCCAGTGTCACAAGGCTATCCATAGGTCCAGGAATTTCCCTAGTTTCTACTGATCAAGTCAGAGCCCACCAGCCAGTACCTTTGGTGCTGCTGTCATGCATTGCTCCCCTGTCCTCCTACCTGCTGGGGTGCCATTGATTTTCCTGCCTCTAGCCTCTGCCAAGAAAAAACCATCACTCCTGCCAGGCTGTCTCTGCCCCTTGGCCTTGTATCATTCAGCAAGAATCAAATCGTGACTTTATCTCATACCTCTCCAATTCTCAGTCATTTTAAAAAAATAAAAAATAAATAAATGGCAGGGTAAGAGCTGGTAGGATGCAACCCTGCCACCTCGCCCTGGGTCCTCACATGCCCCACTGAGTATGAGGCATCCCCCTTCCTGGGCCTCTGAGAACAGGGGTCACTAATGGCAGCTGAAACTTATTAGGCACCCTTTGCCTCCACCTGAGAGACTAAAGCTTCCTCCCCCGTACTGCGCATGCTGCAGCCACTTTAACATCACCCAGGCTGGTGCCCATGGGCAATAATGACAGCCCTGGCCCTCCAAAAGGGCACTATAGCAGTAGGGTTAGCTGTGGTCCTTTGTCCTCTCAGCCCTGCCTCCCCAGCCTGGCCATGGGCTTCTCCGGGTCTGAGGACCAAGGATGCTCCTTATAGTACCAGCTCAGAAGTAATGAATGCTATAGGCCCCACAGGGGCCAGTCCAGGGCTGGTGAAAGGAGCTGCTGTCTGGAATTTCTGGGAGCCCCTGTCTGGGGCCTGGTGCAGGCAGCACCCTGTGAGGGCAGACAGGGTGTTCCCTGCCTGTTCTAAGATGCCAGGTCTCACATTTTCCACCCACAGACTCCATCAGAGGACCTTCCTCGTAGATGGAGGCTGTACTGCCTCTGCCCTTCTACTTGACCCCAGACCCTGGTGCAGCTGTGGGGGACAGCTGCTTTCACCCTGCAAGCCTGGAAGAAAGTAGAGTGGCCACTGTGCTAGGCTGGGGTCTGCAGCCTCCTCTAGAGCCTGGGAAAAGATTAGCCCTTGACCCTGAACTCCCAGGGCCTCAGCCCAGCAGTTCTGGGACCAGAAAGAATCCCTCTGGCTCCCAATGCTAAACAAAGAAGCTGAAGCCACATGGTGAGCTGAACATTCTCACAGAGCTTGGTGGGCTGGGGCTGGGGCTGGGGCCTAGCTCTTCATATGTGGGCTTCACAGTCTTTGGCACCTGGGAAAGAGACCAAGTAGCCACTGTGAACAGCCTAGGGGCCCGACTGGCTCCTGTGAGTGCCAGCCATGCAGCCAGGTGCTTCAGAGGGGTCAGGGTAAGGTTTCTGAGGATGCCCAGCCAGGGTAAGGTTGGTCCCTCTCCTGGCTCCTCCTGCCCAGGCTGGCTATCCATATTGAGGAGAAGGGAAAACCTGGACTGGGGAGAACCAAGGAAGGCTTAGAGTCCCCCCTGACCTCCGGGCCCTCCCCTTCTTATTGAACACCTTTATCTCCCTGGGAACTCGCTCTGCTGCCAGGTCTCCATTAGTGGTTGCTGAGTGCCCAGGGTGTGTCCAACCATAAGAGGATGCAGGCCAAAGGACAGCCTGAGATTCCCCTCCTCAGTCAGGAGAGGGCTGGATCCCTGGGATAGGGATGGTCAGGGGTGACCTGGCCTGGGCCTCTGCTCGTCCAACTGGGCCTGTGGCCTTCCTGACCCTGTCCTCAGAGGCCTCCTGTCTCCAGCAGGACAGTGGTTTCTTTAGCCCAGGGCACCCATCTGACCCTTCCTGTCCTTGTCTATAACAAGCTCCCAAGAGCCTGAGCTGTACCTCACAGACACACCAGGTGAGGCTTGGAGAAAGGTCCCTTGAATGTGTGGGCAGCAGCCTGAAAGAGTCAGGAGGACCCAGGACTGAGGGCCCCAGAGGACCCAGAAGCTGCAGACTGGGACCTCAAGTCAGGGAAAGCCTCTACCCCTGCAGACAGGCCTGCATGCATAGCAAATGGGGTCCTATTGGCTGCTCCCCAATTTGCCTGCCTGCTTCTTGGGGGCTGTCCCTGCCTTTGTGTTGTTGAGGACTGCCTTTGGGGCCCCACCCCTGTTGTCAGGAGAATGACTCCAAGGATCACACATGCTTGGCCCTGGCTGGGCCCCAGTCTCCTACCTCTCGAGGTGGGGGTGCTTCCCATGAGTCAGGCTGGGACAGTTCTAGCCCTGTGTCTCCATAGGGAGTGATGTCATGCATATCTGCATAGTGGTAGCTAAACTGACCTTCCGTGTTCCTGCACTCCATTCCTAGCTCCCTTTGCCCATCTTTCCCCTGGATGTGGCTTAGCCTTGGTTGGAGTTTTGGACCTGTGCAGTAGCTGGGTATCCACATCTCGCTGGCTCTGTGGTCACCAGGGAGGATTGCTGAGTTCCTAGACTTTGCATCCTCCACACTGTCTCCCCACACCCAAACCATATCATGTATCATGCTGACTGGTTACTACCCCTGATTGCTGACTGGCTGCTGCTCAGGAACCCTTACCTCTAGGACTGATGTCCTCTGAGCTCTTCTCCCTCCTTATACCCAGTCAGGCCCAGTCTGTGCTTCTAAATCCTAGACAATGAGCACACACATCTGCATGGTGGAGTGCCTGGGGCAACCTGTTATAAGCAAAACAAAGGGGTCAACCACTGTGAAGATGGGCTCCAGGATGAACATTTGGCCTCCCCACCAGACATACACCTAGAAACTTAGCCCTGTGTGGCTGAATGTGATCTCTTTATCTGTAGCTTTCCCCACTGGGACAGGCCATGTTTCTGTGTGGCTCCCATCATACTCCACGACACTCAAACACTGCCGACACCTATACTAGGTGGGTTTGCAGAAGGGAGGGTCATCAGAAGCAGCATGGCTAGAGCTTGGCAGCTGGTGTGACCAGGTAGCCACGAAAGGTGTTAAGAGGGCCCCAGGCTCACCAAAGATAGCAGTGTCGTGGTCACAGTGAAACACGCACAGCCAGAAGGTGCTGCCTGCAGCCAGTGGCGGCACAGACTCTAGGCCTGCATGAGTCACACTTGCTGGGCTGGGCATACAGCGCAGCAGCAGGCTGGCTGTCTCACATGAAGTGGAGGTGGGCCTTGCTGGTTCCAGGTGTGTATGTGCAGGATCAGGAAGTAGGTGCCGCCCACAGTGCAGCAGAAGCAGCTGAGCTCCAGGGAGAAGAAACTATCCAGGTTCACCTGTAAGTGGCTGGGCTGGAAGCTGTCAGCACTCTGTAGCCCCAAGCGCTGGCCCACTGAGAAGGCTGAGTAGACACATGGGCCCAGGGCACCAGGAACCTTGCAAACCCTCCTTCCTGCTCTATCCTGAGTGGCCTCTGACCCCGGCCTCACCTTTCTCATCTCAGGGAGGGCATGGAAGCCAGTTAGGGTGGTCTCACCTTCAGGGGCACAATGCCTACAGCCTCACTTCTCTTCAGACTCAGTTTCCTTGTCTGTAAGGTGGGTGCTAATCTCTTCCTCACATAGGCAGTGGGAAGCCACTCCCCAAAGATACAGTTGTTCTGAGGCCTGTGGCATAGACTGTCACTGTGGGAAGTTTGGCGACGTGGGGAGATCTGGGCAGGGTCTGACCTAGGCTTTGCAGAACAAGAGAGCGAGGGAATCCTTACTCAAGTCTAACCTAAGCACTGCATTCCAGCCTCAGAACAATTTAACCTCTATCCAGCGGTCTCAGACCAAGGGAACGTCTCACCTGCCCACCGTGGCTGTTGCTCTGGGGATCTCAGAGACCCTAGCCCCTCCCTCTCCAGGTTTCCCAGCTTGTTCACAGCCAACCCCACCCTCTGCACCCTCTGGCAGCCTCCTTCCTATCTGAGAGGCTGGGGCAAGGTACAGGCAGGGCCTCTGTGATGCTCACATTTGAGGTCAGAGATGTTGATGGTGAACTGTAGTTCCAGGCATCCCTACCTGTGAGTCCCCAGGAGTACCAGCAAGGTCCTGCTACAGTGGGTGGCAGTAGTACACACAGGGCCTCCCAGGCAGCCCAACCCTGCAGGCAGGACCAGGACCAGAAAAGTGAGGCTGGGGGCTGCCCTTGTGGTGGGGTCTGGAGAACAGGGAGGGCTCTGAGAAGGAGATGCTGCCAGAGCCCCCTAAGCCCTCAGCAGCCCAGCTGTGCCCCCTGCTGGGGGATGGTGGACAGAGGCCACGAGGGCATCGGGAGTGGGAGGGAGGACACAGTGAGACCTGCAGGGCCATTTGCATGGGCCTTAGCGTGTTACTGAAGCTGGCATCCTGACAGCCCAGAATCAGAGAGCCTGGGGAGCCAGCTCTGGGAGACATAATAGACAAAAACTTCCAGGCAACCCTCCAGACCTGGGTGCTGTCCCTGAGGTGCTTCAGGGAGGGGCTGAGCCCCACAAGGCTGACATAGGGTTGGTGGGGTGTGGCCCTACATGGACAAGGTGGCCCCAACCTAAGCAGCCTCAAAAGGCCCTCAGGGGCATATGGGAGGCTGTCCTGCAGCACCCCAGCCTAAGGTGGGGAACTGGTTCTTAGCTCCCTCAGTCCGGTCGACCTGAGCCTGCTCCTGGCCCAGGAGAGGCTCAAAGGGTGGGGCAGCTGAGGCCAGCTGGGTCCACATGAACAAGCCAAACTTCCTCTTGGCTTCCCCCAGTTAGCCTAGGGCCTCAGTTTCCTCCTTGGCAAGGGGGTCCTGCCTGGTCCCCACAGGCCATGTTTAGGGTTCACCTAGGATTGGGTTATCATGTGGGGTCCTGGAATTTCCCTGCACTCAGCTCTGCTGGGCAAAGACCTATCCCACCTCCTGCAAGAAGCCCTCAGGAACTGCAGAGCAGGACAGTGCCAACTCTTTTGTGGTCTGACACACACACCCCAGGTGGCTCTGGCAACTCAGATCTTCTCTGAGGCTCTCCAGAGCCCTGCACACCTAACCTGTCCTCAGCCCCTGCGGATTCAGCAAGACTGTCCTGGCTGCTCCCAGGTGTGTGCATGGGGACAGCCCCCTAGGAAGAGCCCCATGAGGAGACCTGCTCCCTGGGGACTCTTCCCTTGAGCTCTGGATCCCTGGTGTCTTGTGCCTATCCTTGCAGAGCAAACACTGGACTCGGAGCCGCACCACTAAGGGCACTGTGAAGATCATCGCTTCTGCCCCCATCCCTACCCCACCCCCAGCTCCCTGTTACCACGTCTCATGGCTGCAAGGCTCTGCCTGCCCTGCTGGCTCCCACGCAGAGCACTATCCCCAGGAAACAGTGAAAGAGACCTTTCACACCCCTGGCGCCTGCGGCTTCCCCTGGGCCATCCAAGACCAACAGGACAGGCCATCTCCTCTGCAGGATGCTTGAAGGGCTCCTTCACTCTCAGCCTGCCGTGGGCCTCCAGGGTCTTTGTGCCAGCCCCCATCTCACCCCGGAGCCCATGAAGTTCTGGCCTTGGGATGTCTTAGGCTGGCTGGATTGGGGTAATGCCTCCAGCTGGCGTCTCTCCTCCACCAGAGAAACAGAGCTGCTGCCTGTCTTGGCAGACTAGTGGACTGGATGGAGTCTGAGGAGGCTGGAATGCAGGGGCCCAGCCAGGGCCACCATGATCCTTGGAGCTAGCTTGGTCCCCAGCCTACCTGGTGGTGCAGTGAACATGTGGCCACAGATGGACAGAACCCCAGAGAGCAGTGTCTGGTCAGGCTCGTGGTCTCTCTCACTCTCTCTCTCTGTTTCTCTGTTTCATTCTCTCTCTCTCTCTCTTTCTCTCTCTCTCTCTCTCTCTCTCTCTCTCT